TCCCGTTCAGCATCGCTCTCATGCAACCATTGTGCCAACCTGTGACGTATTCTTTTAACCAATCCAAACGCCCATCGCGCCCATATGGAGGATTGTCCAATACGCTCTTCCAGGGTAGAAGCGAATGTTGCTGACCACGGAACAACCACGCGAACTTGTTCCAACGATTCCCATAGTTCCACATCAGACACCAGGAAAGTCGTAGGTTTCACCAGAGCATGTCCCAATGCTCCTTGATCAAAATGTGCAGCGTACATTCCATAACGCTCACAAAAGCTTTTAACCTCTGGCCAACTCCAGAAGGTAGGACTTGAGAGCCCTTCCTGAGAACCATCCACCAGATCCTCAGCACTCAAGACCGTTTTGCCGTTCTGAGAGAAATCCTTCCCTATGAGTTCAGGGCCCCCAGGGCTTTCCATGCCAAAGAAGACAGAACTCCCATTGATGACTTCAGCAGTTCCACACCTTGGATGCACCGCCACGTCATATAGGAAAAGCATCTTCAGAAGTAAAACACCATCCTTTTGAGCTAATTCTTGATGTGGCCAATGAAGACTTTTTAATCCCAACCGTTCAGGCCCACAGCGTCGGCGTAATACAGGTGGACCACCGTCTTCACCTCTCAACCTTGACACTGTCCTGCATGGAGGTCCTCCAACCACAGCAACCACCTTTCCTTCAGCCGCCAGATGCAGAAGATGCTTCCAGACGCTCGAATTATGTAGGTCACCGCCTTTTGTCAAATCCAGCTCCAGTACCTCCACATCCCGACTGGGAAAATGCCATTTTTGTTTTCCCGAAAATAGGTGTACCACCACCCTTTTTGCTCGTGCCAGCTGTCTCCTTTTATGACGGTTGAAAGGCAACGCCACAATATCTCCACGTGGCAACAGCTCCATCAGCATATTTTCTGGTATATTCCCATAATACCACCGAAGAAATCTCCAGCATGCCTGGACGAACTCCTCCTCATTCGCTGACGCTGTCCGCGCTGCGCTTTGCAACGACGTTTTTACAGCCACCTCGTTGTCCGTATTCGGACACCCTTGAACCATACGTGCCACCTTCAATGCTTGCTTTGGTGAACACCAATCCATTTCATCAATGATCTGAAGCGCCACCTCCTTTTCCAAACAAGGGCACCCATTCAGATCACGAACGCGAAGTTCCCCCAGAACAGGATGTGAGGCTGTGCACTTGCCACCACGCCACTGAACTCTGAGACCAACCAAGGCGCTCGCTTTGCCAATTGGCACTAGTGGATCTACCATTTCAGGAGTTACCAGGGTCCCACCTGGGGTAATACACATCTCCCGAGATCCAACAGCTAAAGACACCAACACCTTTTGCTGCGGAAGCTGTTCACCAGGACGAAGTGATCTGAGAGGATGCGATGCTCCCGAGTCCAACATGCCCATTCCCGAACACTCATTGGTGTCAGAAACCCTGGCCACATGTAGAACGCATACTCCTCGGCCTTCTCCCTGCTTCGGCAACAACGTGGCATCAGACGAACCGACTCCACAGTCCGCCCTTCCATTCCTCCATTGAGAATGGGACAAAGATGCACGCTGCCTTTCAGCATGCAAAACCATTTTCTCAGCTGTTTTGTAATCCATAACCAAACAGCCATGTTCAAACCACAAGAGCTGGTCCAGCGAAGATTTTGCACTCACGTGACACATCCCATTGATCACGGTGAGGTTCGCCCCAAACTCCAAAATCAACCAGAGAGGGATAACCAGGGGCCCATTGTCTTCCCTAATCAACGTCCCTTTCTCTGTAATCCTCATTGTCACACCACCAAGCGCGCTTTGCACCATAACAGTAGTGTCGGGTAAACATTCCCATGGAAAAAGCGTCCGCGCAAGATGCGTAGCAGCTGTATCCACCAACGCCACTCTCCCTTCCTGCTGAAACAACCCAGAGCCACATAACATTCGAACACTGGGATCCCCGCTTGATGCCGACTGTACTGATGACAGCTTCATAGATTTCAGCACTTCCAACGCTTCAGCAAGGACTTGATTGGGTGTTGATGGTGATGAGGGACTTGCAGAACCTTTATCCAATCCCGCATTAGCCGTCTCATCTCCCCCTTCAGCTACTTCTGCCTTTTTGGCATTTCCCCATTTTGCACCTTTGCCGCCCTTTCCCCCTTTGGGAGAATTCCCTTTAGATCTACTTCTCTCAGGGTTTGAGTCCACATTGGAACTTGCACCATCCTTATATGGACATTGCGGCTGCAGATGGCCAACGGCCCCACACTCAAAACATCTTCCTCGCTCAAGGGAGTCTTTGTCATGGCGAAATTTGCAGCGGGATCCGAACTTGCAACCTGCATCGGTGTTCCCATATATCCAACAGAAAGGACGTTCACCATCTCCGCTGTACCTTTTTCCTTTCCCTTTGCCTTTGTCACCCTCCTCCGTCTCGTCACCAGTTCCCTTTTGGGCCTTGTTTAACCTGGCCCTTTTCTTGGCGTCCGAGTCCTGCTTCACCTCTTGTTCACCAGCACTATGCAATAGCAGTTCAAACTCTGCCTGTAACATTTCAGCTAGTTTTGTCGCAGTTTCAGAGGTCGGCGAGTAGTCCACCCCCAATTTCTCCCGAAAGGATGCCACTCTGAAATGAACCGTAGGGTGTTTCGCCAGCAACGCGGATGATAAACCATCCAATCCCTTGATAAGCAAGGTAGCGTCCGGCTCGGCCGCTCTCAACTCCCTTAATCGGGAACGCCATTGCGCCCATTGACGCACTCCCTTTATGGCCTCTGAGATCGAGGTTGCTGGAGATGGTTGCACCAAGAAGTTCAACATTGTGCTGCGCTCATTTGCTCCACCTGGTTGGTAGACCGTCAGCAATTTGTAAAATATCATCACTGACCCCAACATTCGAGTGGAAACGATCTCGGTCTTCAATCTCTCCGGAATCGCCTGTAGCAGCAAAGACACCGCTCTCTGCTCCAACAAAACATGCACAGTTTGAACCACTTTGAGCCCTTCCAGCTCAGCCTTGATGCCCAACCTTTCCAGTGGAGAAACACTCAACCATTTGGCATACGCTTGATATGCCTTTGAGTAGACGCATTGCCACCACACTCTTCCTGTATCTGTCAGCGAAGACAACATTGGTTCGATCATTGCGATCCAATCACCCAGTGCCGTCGGATTGCTTGGTGTGTAGTCTGCCAAAGTTGGAAGGCTCATCACATGCTTCCCAAGAGCCTCCGGACGTTCGGTTCCAGAACTATCACCAATGATTTGGCATACCACGTGGCACCACTGCTCCAGGAGGTAAACTGACCCTACCACCAGGCCCTTGAGGTAGTCCATGTCCTATACCAGGCGTAACAGCTGTGAGCGGAACCTTTTCCAGTTCCAACCTCCCAGCAACCATTTTCCACCGATACGGAACATCATCCACCATTGTATATCCACCCGATCCTGCTGAGTTCTCTTGCGTTGCAGTTTCCCGAGCTGAAACAAAACCGGGCTGGTTCCCCACAGGTGCGGCAGAACCATCAACACCTGACGGCACGGAAGTAATCGGAACATGTGTTAAACCAGGTGGTCCACTTGCATATCCACCAATTCAATGGAGGCAATCTGGAGGGTTTCTTCCCTTCAGCTACATGCATCATTGGCACTTCTTTTTCATCCTCCACTTGAACATCCCCCTTCCTGGACCCAGGCAAGGATTGAAGATCACAACCCTTTGGCAGGTCGTAGCCCTCAATGGGCAGCCATGTCCCATCAGGCAACACAGTCCAAAAACCACCATCAGTATAGAAAACTTGTCCTGGCAGGTACTGCTTCTCTGGAGTCATTCCCAGAGGATATGCAGTGTTTGCGTCCACCACTCCAGTGCTCCGTGCTCTTGAAGCTGACCCAGATGCAGCAGAGGTATAACTTTTCTCCTCCACCCGATGCAACCTGTTCCCCAGCTCCTTTGTTTGCACAAGCAACTCTTTCAGCGCACGCTTTACCACCGCCATATCTTCACTTTGTTCTTCACCACCAACATCAGGAATGAGCTCTTCGTCGGCTTGCGCTCCACCAATAGTACCTCGTTCCATCTGGCCCATTAAGCCTGACGATGGTCTCTCAACAGGTGCAGGTTCCTGACCCAAGAGATCTTGCAGCGAAGGTGGCCTCCTCGTGCCTTCACCACTTCTATCCCCTCCGCTCGCAGGAAGACTTGCCGGCCTTGATTGCCTCAGTCTCATTTCGTCTTGAGCCCGCTCGCTCCAGAAAGGATTTGCTGCTGGAACCGGAACCACTTCGTTTTCCACCTGAGGCGTTGGTTGTATCATTGCAACCTCCCTACCATCTGTCAGCGCTTGTACCATTTGTTGTCGTTCTTCACCCCCATCACCACGATTTCCTTCGGCTTCATTGGCCGTGGGCGACAGTCCAGGCTCAGAGCGACGCCGCATCATGTCCATGGCGTTAAACAAACGAAAAATCTTTACCAATTCCGCAGGAAGCCTAATTTGGGCTCATAACCTACGGGGGGCAACCGAAGGAGGACAGGGAACAAAACAGTCAACCCCAACAGAAGCCCTTGATCCCCTGGACCAACCAACACCAAACCAACACACACTTCTTTCTTCAGGGCGCATGCCCAAGTTCCTTGAGCCAAAAATTTGTGCCGGGTACATTGACCCCTTCACCTTCCAACATCAACTCTTTTTTTACAATACCAACTGCAGCTCCGCATAGGGTTTAGGGTTTAGGGCTAGGATATTGGGGGCCCCAGCGCCCTCAGACTCAAGCCATATCTCATAACTTATGCGTTCTAAGGGTGTAGGGTTTAGGGGTACTCATACCTCGACGCCCAAAGTGATAGGCTGTTTCACTACACTGAGACCTTTGCCAATGGCAGACATGGAGCCAATCGTAAACAGGGGTATCGATCTAAAAATCTTTGTAGGGGCGCATCTCGCAGATGACCTTTTGCGGGCCGCCTGCTGTTGCAGTAGTGATAGGGCCAGGATCATGGGCGAGGATCTCGACAGAAGCATCATGACAGGAGCAGCCTCCTTAGAATGTAGGCTTAGGGCATCTAAAGCAGATCCCCAAATAGTAAGATTCCCTTACAAGAAGGACCCTAAGAAGGTACCCCAAATTTCGCAAGCCCAATAGGCGGCTTTGGAGCGTGATTTGTATGCAGAGTGAGAGAGGATCAGCTCGGAGAATGATGTGGTTTTGGGGGGGTGTCTCCGTTGGCAGGCTTCCCCTGGCAGCCTGCCTCCGGATATCTTCCTGGTGAGTCGATGGAGGCGCTTGTGGCTGCGGGCTTGGGGGATATGGGAGGTAGGTGGGCCATGCCCCAAGGCGAAAGCCGACTGTCAGCCTGCAAGCAGAAACCAGACCTGAGTCTTTCGGCAGATACTGTTCCAGGATTCGAGCCGGCAGTGAGGCTTTAAGGCATTCGCACCCCATGTGCCAATGTAGATACGAGTCATGCGTCGTGTCAGAAGTCACCCCAATGATTCAAAGCTGGGCCGCATGATCGATTGCCGAGAATTTTCCCAGTTATGCAAGTCGGAACGTCTTCTACCAAGCTGGTTGCAGGCGATTCTGGACTTATGACTTAAGCAGGAGTTGTCAACGACAACTGGTTGGAAAAATTCAGTCAGATGCTCTCGCATCGAGACCGAAATTGGGGGGGACACGGGGGGGTAGCGAGGGGGGGGGTTCCTCTAATTTGAGAAAAAGTCCATCAACAACCACCTGGACCCCCGAACCGAGCCACTGCTGATGGCTTCCTTGTTTGCACTTCCTTACTGGTGTTTTCATCGGAAATTCAGTGCGGGGATAGGTCCGGGACAGGAGAACCAATGAGACTTCAGTACGGCTTTGCTGCTCCCAGCACCAGACTGCTGGAACATAGCAAGACCGTTTAGGGTTTAGACCACGATTTAGAGTGCTGAGGGCTTGAGTTTTTTTTTTTGGCGGGGTTGTTGAAATCACTCTCTTGGCAAGGGCCGCCGCTATCCGAATGGAGAGACCTACCCTGCGTGGCACGAGATCGATGGGATGAGCTCTGGCCCGTGGGCTCATGGGTTCGGTGTGCTGGATGTCGGGGCTTAGGTTGAGCCCTAGGCTTCCTTAAGCCCTGAATGCCCTGAGTGCCCTAAACGCCCCCACTCTAATTGTTCGAAAAGGGCCTTCGCTAAGAAAAATTGCGGGCGAAAGCCGACACCAAAGACACACCCCCCCCCCCCCTGTGATAAGCTTTGGCCCGGTCTTATACTTAGACAAGCTCCCCCCAGCCCTTCACCGAAAGCCCTGCACCTCCACACCCCCCCCAACTCCTGAACCCCTGAACACCCTCCGAAGCCCTAAAGCCTAAGAACCCGAAGCCCTAAGCCCTAAACCCTAAAGCCTAAACCCTAAAGCCCTAAGCCCTCAACCCTAAGCCCTAAACCGTAAGCCTCTGAACCTCCAAAGCCCCGAAGCCGTTGTAAACCCCTGTGTTCTGTATAGTGTATGTCAGGGTTATATAACAGGGGGCCAACAAAAATCCGAAGTATGGATGGGCCTTTTGGGTAGGATACGAGCCTTGGGGGTGCTGGAAATTTGCGTTCAGGGCTCAGGGGAGTTTTAGGGGTTTAGGTGTAGGGTTTAGGGTTTAGGGTTTAGGGTTTAGGGTTTAGGGTTTAGGGTTTAGGGTTTAGGGTTTAGGGTTTAGGGCTATTGGTGGGTTCAGCTTGACCCAGGATTGCGGCCATGCCTGCGGGTACCCGGCTCTCCTTCCACCTCAACAACACCAAGGAGTGCCCCTACGTGAGCGCGTCTTGGCTAGGGTTCAGGGTTCAGGGTTCAGGGTTCAGGGTTTAGGGTTTAGGGTTTAGGGTTTAGGGTTTAGGGTTTAGGGTTCAGGGTCTAGGGTTTAGGGGAGAGGTGGCTGTTTCCCCACACTTGGGGTACTCCTAATATACCCGCAGATACTCTACTCCTCGCTATAGAAAGGGTGTGCGTATTTTCGTAAACCCCCAGGTTGTTTTTGATGTTTTTGTTTGGGGGAGGGGTGGGGGGGCTTGGGTTGGGGTGCTCCAACAGCGTGTTCCTTCCGCTTTTTGGTTTTTCCATTGCAAGACCTTATACACCATTGGTAAGAACCCTCGGATCGTGCTTCCAGACACCGCGGCAAGCTCACTTCCACGAGCCGTTTCCATGTGAGTCCCAGATTGTAAAGTCTCCCAGAAGCCTCAACTTAGACCTCACATCCTCACTACACAAAGCGCCGAACAAAGCCGAGCACCCCGAATATGGGAGCTTCCACAAAATCCTGCAAGCATGGCAGCCTCTACTTAGGAGCACCCCAAAAACAAGGAAAAACCCCCTACTTCCGGAAACCCTCACACAACAGCCCCCAAACCCCAAGAGCCCTGAGCCCCAAGTGTCCAAGGCGCTGCTACGGGGGGATCCTGAGATGCTGCGCCTGATTGACGAGCTGTGCAGCAAGTACCGCGCGCGCCACATACAGGCGGGCCAGGACTCAAAGGCCCTAAGCCCCAAACCCTGATTCCTAAACGTGGGATGTTCCCCCTTATACTAACAGTCCTTAATAGGGATTATATTAGAGGGGTACTATATACATGAAGGACCTTTAGTATAAGGGGGAACATCCCAGCCCGAAACTGTAAACCCTGGGAGGCTTCCGAGGCTTCTTTTCAGCTTGGTAAGTATACGACTCTGCAGGGTGTCTCGGATTTCCCGCCCAAGGGCCTGAGGGGTTGTGGGTTGGGCAAAGCCTTAACCCCGAATTGCTGGACCGGGGGCTTCAAACCCTTAGGGTTTAGGGTTTAGACCCCCAAATCCCCAAAAAACCCTAAACCCCAAACCCTAAACCCATAAACCCCTAAACCCCTAAACCGCCCTAAACCCCCTAAACCCCCTAAACCCCTAAACCCCTAAACCCCCTAAACCCCCCTAAACCGGAGGTGAACATCAGTGCTCGCGGCCTCCCAACGGAGCTCTTCACGCCTGGCGAAGTCTGGGAGAAGAGCAGCCAGCACTTGGTGGAGCTCGCGGAACGGCATCCAGAGCGACTTCTCCTGAACCTTTGGGGTTAGGGTTTTGGGTTTAGGGTTTAGGGTTAGGGTTTAGGGTTTAGGGTTTAGGGTTTAGGATTTAGGGTTTAGGGTTCAGGGTTTAGGTTAGGGTTTAGGGTTTAGGGTTTAGGGTTTCGGGTTTAGGGTTTAGGGTTTACGGCCAGGGTTTAGGGTTCTTTGGGGGTGTTGGGTTGTTGTTGTTTTTTTGAGCTCTCTCGTCGATATCTGCGGGCATGTCTGCCCTGGGCTTGAAGCATCCTGAATTGCTAAAACCCTGAACCCTAAACCCTGAACCCTCAATCCTGGACCCTAAAGGACCTCAACCCCCAAGCCCTAAGCCCCAGACCCTAAACCCGAAACCCGAAACCCTAAACCCTAAACCCTAAACCCTAAACCCTAAACCCTAAACCCTAAACCCTAAACCCTAAACCCTAAACCCTAAACCCTGACCCTAAACCCTGAACACCAAGGACCCTGTTCTTGATCCCGATCTTCCAGCGCCTTCTCCCCGACTCCACTTCCGCGGACTCCTGGCCCTTCATGCAGCGGCTGCTGCAGGAGGGGCATAGGGGGGAAACTCCGACTCCTTGGACTCCAACTCCCCCCGCCCCCCTTGAGGTTTGAGGTTTAGGGTTTGGGGTTTAGGGTTTAGGGTTTAGGGGTTTAGGGTTTGGGGTTTGGGGTTTAGGGTTCAGGGTTCAGGGTTTGAGGGTACAGGGATCAGGGCTTCCGCTCGTCAATGGTGTGATCTGTAGTGTTTGAAGACATGGGGCGACAGATGCTTTTTGGCCATAAGGTCTGGGGGAACATGTGCACAAGGATTCGGCAAAGGCTACCTTCCCGCCTTCTGTGCAGTTGAGAAGGCGTAAGTGAAGCAAGCAACCGAGAAAGTCATACTACATCACTGTTGTTCCTGCCCGCTCAAGATGCACAGCCTAAAAAGGGTGAAAGGAAAGGGCACCACTCGTTGCCTGCCAACCCAAAAGCCTAAACGCATGCAAGACTCAGCTGTAGCCTCCCGAACACCCTAGAACCCAAACCCTGCAAGTAACCACCAACCTTTCCCCCTCACCCCTGTCAGGGGTCCCAAGACGAAATCTGGAGCACCCGAAACCCAAACCTTAAACCCTTAGCTCCTAAACCCTTAAATTCTCAGCCCTAACAGGCCTAAACCCTAACAGGCCTAAACCCTAACAGCCCTAAACCCTAAGAGCCCTAAACCCTAGGAGCCGCAAGTCCCAAGAACCCTAAACCCTAAGCCCTAAACCATAAACCCTAAACCGTAAACCGTAAACCCTGAGCCCCAAACCCGAAATCCTAAGCCCTAAGCCCTAAGCCCTAAGCCCTAAACCCTAAACCCTAAACCCTAAACCCTAAACCCTAAACCCTAAACCCTAACTGTCCCAAACCAATATCGATGGAAGCGGAGGCCTCCAGTGAAAGGAGCTCAGGGAAGCCAGCAGGGAGCCGGGTCGCCGTCAGAAGTCTTTTTTGGTTTGCGGTTTAGGGTTTAGGGTTTAGGGTTTAGGGTTTAGGGTTTAGGCTTTACGGCTGAGGTTTAGGGCTGAGGTTTAGGGCTGAGCAGCTGGAAGCTCTGGTTTGGGGGGAATTGATATGGATCATGGGTCATGTTAAAATGGGGCTCAGATCATGGAGAGGACTCCGCATGCGGAGAGAGTCCCCAAAAAAAGAACACATGAGGTAAACCGGCTTAGGGTTCAGGGTTTCGGGTTTAGGGTTTAGGGTTTAGGGTTTAGTCGGAGGGTGAAGTGCTAGATACCAGCCGGTCGAGTAAATCGGGATATGGGGGGGGGTTTACCCTGAAACCCTAAACCCTAACAGCCTTACATTCTACCCGAGCTCTCTTCGGTTTGGCCCAGGGTCTGAAATGCGGAACTTCTACACTCAGTGCTGAACCGAGCAAGTGCCAAGAGCCCGAAACGTAAGCCCTAAACCCCCAATCCCGAACCCTTAAACCCTAAACCCTAAACCCAATTCCTTGACGCTAAACTCCAGACCCTAAACCCCGGAATTCAGGAACTTGGTCGCCTTCTTCGACAACTCCGCGGGCTCTGGCAAGGTTCCCGACGCCGTGCCGGAGATCCCTGCGGATTATCCCCGGGAGGCTCGCAGCTGCAGGGCCTAGGACTCGACTTTCCTGCCGGGTTTAGGGTTGAGGGTTGAGGGTTGAGGGTTTAGGGTTTAGGGTTTAGGGTTTAGGGTTTAGGGCGTCAGAAATGATAGCAAGTCAGCCCGCCTTACATCCTAAACCCGAATCCCCCAGGCCCCAACACCCCAAACCCCCCTAAACTTAAACCGCAAGAGAGCGTCTTACACCCTAAACCTTGAATTTTGACACCTTAAACCCTAAGCCCTGTTCTTCGAGAGGTTTAGTTTAGGGGTTTGGGGGTTAGGGTTTAGGGTTTGGGTGGGGTTAGGGTTTAGGGTTTAGGTTTAGGGTTTTAGGTTTAGGGTTTAGGGGTTTTGGGGTTTTGGGGTTTAGGAGTTTGAGTTTTGGGTTTGGGGGTTTAGGTCTTTAGGGTTTAGGTTGCTTTTGTCATCTTTCTAACCCTCACTACCGCAGTACATGATTTTGAGTGCTACTGTTATGACTCAGATATTCATGCAACTCATTCACAGAAAACATTTCATTTGTGGCACATTTCGTGAGTTAGCGCCTGCGCGAGTCTGTGTCAGAACTGCACGATGGGGGCGCCGTATTCCGCCGTCATTTTCAAGTCCCTGAGCCCCAAACCCCAAACCCCAAACCCCAAACCCCAAACCCCAAACCCTAAACCCTAAACCCTAAACCCTAAACCCTAAACCCTAAACCCTAAACCCTAAACCCTAAACCCTAAACCCTAAACCCTAAACCTAACCCCTCTAAAACCCTAACCCTAAAATTCAACCCTCAACCCTGAATTCGAGGGGGGGGGGGGGGGGGGGGAGTCTCGGCCGGAGGCCCCACCACGTCCAGGGCCTTCAAGTGCTTCCTTTGTGACAAAAAACGTTCTAGACCTTGTCGTTTTGAATCTCCAGAGGCCTCCGGCATTCGAACAGAAGCGACCCTGGAACAGCCACAAAGTCCATGCAAAAGCAGCATCGACCTTGTCTCATATGAATGGCCTGCTGTCGCTGTGCCACAAAAAGCCCTACACCACCTAAACCCCCCCCGTTACACGCCCCTTACACCCCCCTTACACCCCCCTTACACCCCCGCTAAACACTCCCCTTACACCCCCTTGACACCCTGACACACCCCTTACACCCCCCCCCTGCACCCTCCAAACACCGAAGATGGCAAACCAAGGTCGCTCAGCCAATTGGCTTCACAGGTGGCATCAGCGCATCCAATGTGCAGGACGGGTGCTCCAAGCTCTGTGTGCGTGCGTTATATGTATATGTATATGTATATATATATATATATATGGTACCCCCCCCCTGGAGAATCTACCTCCAAAGGGTGGGGGTTTAAGACACCTGTAGCTTTTTCGTATCGGGTTGAAGATACCTCTAACGCTTTCGTATAGATTCTTGCCCTCTCATCTTCAACAAGATTCGCATTTCAATCTCTACATGATGAGAGTTTCAGATTTCCATATCCAGAGGATGAGGTATAAGAGTTTGTCTTTTGTTTTAGGTGTGTTGCTTAGAAGCAGTTGGGTTGCTTATAAGCAGTCGGGTTGCTTAGGTGGGGGGGGGGAGGGGGGGGGGGGGGGGGGGGAGGGGGGTTTCTTCCAACTTGGCCTTGAGACCTGTGGGTACCCCCCCCCCTCCCCCCCCCCCCCCCCCCCCCCCCCCCCCCTCCCTCCGCTCCGCTCCGCTCCCGCTCCAGCTCCAGGGTTTTTTTCTTAAGGTTAAGGGTTGTTTGGGCTGGGCTTGTCTCTAAAACCCTATCGGGGTTAAGGCTTTAAGGCTTTAAGGATTTAAGAGAAGCCCCGACACCCTACAGGTTTAGGGTTTTAATCGCTATGCCTTAAACCTATAGGATCTAGGGCTACACCTTAAACCCTACACCTTTAAACCCTATGGGGTTTCAAGGTTAAGCAACTAAACTTAACCCTTAACCTTTAAACCCTATAGGGTTAAGGTTTAAAGGTTTAGGGTGTAAGATGTAAGGATTTCAAATCTAAGCCGGAAATTAAACCAAAACCCTTAACTTTTAAACCCTACAGGTTTAAGATTCAGGCATTTAACCGGCAATTGAACCTAAGCCCTTAACCTTTAAACCCTATAGGTTTAAGGTGTAAAGGTTCAGGGTTTAATTAAGACTCATGCATTCAAACCTAAGCCCATAGAGTTTAAACCTTAAGTGTTTAAGGTTTAGACATTTCAACCTCACCCTAAACCCTTTAGGGTCAGAACCCTAAAACCCTATGAAGGTTCCAAGGTCTTAACCCTAAAGGCGCTAAAAGTATAAATGCCCAGACCTTAGGTTTTGAAGGCGAATGAAGTTTAGGAATTTAGCCTTGAGGTTTAGGCATTACAATCTGCAAGCCCCATAGGATTTTACAGGTGCAAGATCTAGTGATTAAAACCTAAGGCTTGGGCATTCAATCTGTAACCCTAAAGGCTTGAACCTTAAACCCTATAGAGTCCCTATAGGGTTAGGTATTTAAACCGAATAGGTGGCCTTTAAACTCTATAGGTTTAAAGGTTTAGGGTTTAGGTTGAAATATTTAAACCCTATAGGATGTAAAGCTTTAGGGTTATTCAGGGTGTATCTCTAGAACCCTATCGGGGCTAGCCCTTATAGGGTTTAAACCCTACATGGTTTACCCTTTTGTGGTTTAAGACTTAGGAATTTAAAAATCGTAACCCGAAACCTTGTAGGGTTTTAACCCCTTTACTGTTTCAACGACAAACCCTGAAGCCTTACAGGGCTCACGTTTAGAATCCTTAAACCCTAAACCCGCTAAACCCTACAGTAACAGAACCTTGTAACCCTATAGGGTTTGAGGCTTAAACTCTTGAACTTTAAATCCCATAGGGCTAGGAAAAGCAAAGACAAAGTAGGATACGTGCCCACATCATGTATGTATATAGGGTATATGTACTGTATATCAATTGCAGATAATGGAGAAGGAAGGACGGTACGCCTCGAACCATAAGATTGGGGGGGGGGGGGTACCATCACTCAACCCTAAACCCTAAACCTTAAACCCTAAACCCATCCAAGATCCAAGATTACCTGAAAAGGTAGATTCTCCTGGAGGGGGGGGGGGTAGCATATATATATATATATATGTGTGTATATATGTGAATTTATATCTTTTTGTATTTATCTGTTTGTATCATTATCATTTTTTATTATTACTACTATGTTTTATGTTGCTATGATCATTATCACTGTCATTATCAGTTTCATTATCATTATCATTCTCATTACCATTCTCATTATCATTCTCATTATCATTCTCATTATCATTATTTTTATCATTATCATTATCATCACTATTATTATCATTATTATTATCATCATTATTATTAGTATGATTGTCATTACTATCATTATCATTATCAGCATCATCATCATCATTCTTCTTCTTTTTGTTATGATGACAATTATGATCATTATTCTGATTATGATGATGACGATGATTATCATTAATACTTAGTTTTTTTTCATGCGTTGGTTTGGGGTTTAGGCTTCAGGTTTCAGGGTTCAGATGTTGGTGTCTTTGAGGTTTCGGTTTTGGGACTTGGCTCTTCAGGGTTTCAAGGCTTAGGGCTTAGGGCTTAGGGCTTAGGGCTTAGGGTTTAGGGTTTAGGGTTTAGGGTTTAGGGGCTTCTTCTGCAGCTTGCGGAGTTTCAGGGCTTCGGGCTTGATGGGTCAGGGCATCAGGGCTGTAGGGTCTCGGAGTTCAGGGTATTGTGGGTTTCATGAACCTCCGAGTTGCAACCCCCAAAGCTTCTTGAAGTGAGTTCTTTGCAGTGGATGCTTGGAGGTTCAGGGTACTCATAGCCCGAATTATAACTGTACCTATAAGGTTTCTAAGTCTCTAAGTAGGCTATAAGTAGCTTTATGCTTGTGGGTATAAGTACCCATGAACCTCCAAGTGTCAAAATGTTAGCCGCGTCTTTACGCCTTGTTCGGTCTTCAGTGCTTCCTGGCATTATTTAGAATATGGGGGTCGGAAGTATTATACATGGTATTCCGTTATGGCCCCTCTATATACATATATATATATATACACACACACACACACACATATATATATATATAAATATATATGCATACCATAGTAGCCCCCAAAACCCTATTCTAAGTCTTCAGCCCCCTCTATTCGTCTCCTTGGGGGTCGGGGGTCGAAAGCAAGGACTGGCTCTCCAGATACTCAGCAGCCGCTGCGGCCCATGGCTGCAAGTGCATCAGCGATGCCCAGTCGGGTTTCCGTGAGGGGAGGGATCGCGGCAAGCCCATCGACGTGGGAGCCCTCAAGGGGCTCGTGCAGAGCGTGTACCAGTGGGGCACCTCCGGTGCGTAAAAAGCTTCTTTCTGGGGTTTTTGTGGGGTTTCGTTGGGGGCCTCTTGGCATCGCCGAAACATACCAAGAAGGAGAAAGAGAATGTCGTATGGCCTACTCTAGGCTGTAGCATCGTCGACGAAATCATCGAGAAACTGCATGATGAAAGCTGGCTCCCCTAATGTTAAATATCCCTAGTCCAGTCTCGCAGGCCCAACTGCAACAAGCCTCGGCAACCCCACCACTTCCCACCGAAAAAGCCCTAAGCCCTAAGTCCTAAGCCCTAAGCCCTCAACCCTAAACCCTAAACCCTAACCCCCAAGTCCTACGCCCTAGTCCCTAAACCCTAGACCAAAACCGAGACTCTCAAAGTCATGGCTTCCAAGACCTGAAGCTTCAACCCCGTGCCGAAGCGCTCAAAATCGCGCCCTCAACCATGCAGCTGGAATCCTACCAAAGGGGTATAGAAACCCTAAGCCCAAAACCCTAAACCCGAAAAAACCCTAAACCCTCAAACCCTCAAACCCCCAAGACCTGAACTCCTCCGCTGCACTCCCCCGGCACTTCTCGCTCGAGCTGCAAAACTTTCGGCCCGGAGCAGTGCGCTCCTGAGGGCCGCAGCCGGCCCGCACGAAGGCCCTTAGTGACTAGTTCGGGGGTTTAGGGTTTGAGGGTTGAGGGTTTAGGGTTTAGGGTTTAGGGTTTAGGGTTTAGGGTTTAGGGTGTTAGGGTGTTAGGGTGTTAGGGCTTGATGACTAGTTTGTGGGGGGATTTTGGTGGGGGGTTTAGGGTGCTGGTTTTCTTTGGGGTTTTTGGGGTTTTGGAGTTTGAGGGTTTGGGTTTTAGGGCTTTGAGTGTTTTTTGGGGTTGGAGGGCTTTTCAGGGTTTGCCTGATCGTGGCTTTAGGGTTTAGGGTTTTCGAGGTTTTGGGGTTGGTGGGTGTAAGGTTTCTGAGCAGGGGGTTTGGGGCTGAAAAGACTTTAAGGTTTTGCTGGTTTTGGGGCTATAGTTTTTGAGGGTTTAGAGGGCTTTTTGGGCTTAGTTTCGAGTTGAGGGGCTTAGTGGTTTGGGGTGTAGTGGTTTAGGGCTCTGGGGTTTCGGAGTTTTTCGGGTACAAGGATTTGGGAACTTGCCCACGATGGGGTTTTAGGGTGGGGCTGCGTGTGTAGGGTTCAGGGGTTTGGCACGCGCTGCACCCCGCTTAGGATTGCGGTTTCTTGGGAATGGGATTCCGTTGGGGGCTTTCAAAGTGTCAGTGTGAGATGTGTGTGTGTGTATGTATGTATGTATGTATGTATGTATGTATGTATGTATGTATGTATGTATGTATGTATGTATGTATGTATGTATGTATGTATGTATGTATGTATGTATGTATGTATGTATGTACAATTCTATGTTTCGAGTATACAGTTTTTCAGTTCTTGTATTCTGAAGTACCATTGCGGACGTATGCAATGTGAACATGGAACATACTGTAACTTGTGCAGAGCCAGCAGTCGCCACCTCCGCCCCTTTTTGTGGCAAGGCCATGGGCAGCAACGAGGACATGGACCCTGTGAAGGCTCCCAGCAGTTTGCACTCGTAGAAACCAAGCTTTTAGGGTTAGGGCTGCTATGGCGAGTATCGCTACTGTGACTGTCACTCGCAATTTGAAGGTGACTATGACAGGGCGTGAAGAGTGCCCAGGCCCTGAACCCCATCCCGTGTACCCGAAGCTCGGGAGCTTCTCCAAATTTGCCAGGTCCTGGAGAAGTGCATTGCCGGAGAGGCGCGCGAAGCAAGCTGCGAAGAGCGAGGAGTTGTTGAGGGTTTCAGGGTTTGGGGTTCAGGGTTTGGGGTTGGGGGTTTAGGGTTCAGGGTTTGGGGTCCATGTATAAGCTCCTTAGGCCTCGCAGGAGATCGGTCTATGGAAGAACCACAACTTCAGAAGCCCTGAACCCCCTAACTGAACCCCCACAAATCCATAAACCCTAAACCCTCAACCTCACCCTAAACTTGTACCCTAAACTCATAGGTTCCGAGGTGTCTTACTAGCTGGACTCGGACGCATGGTAGCACCCTTATCCCCCGCCCCTTTTTTGAAGGGATCGGTTGCCTGGTAAACAGTGGAAGCAAACGGGGAGAACCTTGCCGTTCTTGGGTTGCTGGACAGCGCCCTGATCACCAAGACCTAACGACTCTAAGGGTAGTTCCATGGGCCCTTTAGCATGGTCCCTTACCTCCTTAAAAGGCTTCTGATGTATGGGCCCTTCATGTGTATAGGGTGTTCAAGGGGTATCTAGGGGGGTCCCCTTTTTTAAGGGCCCATACTAAGGGACCATGTAACTACCCCAAGAGTCTTCTCCCTAGATTTCAGAACGGACCCCGCAACCCTAAGCCGGAACCCTAAACCCGAACCTTAAACCCTAAACCCTAAACCCTAAACCCTAAACCCTAAACCCTAAACCCTAAACCCTAAACCCTAAACCCTAAACCCTAAACCCTAAACCCCCGAACTGGCAGGTCGCGGAAGCGAACGCGCTTCCGCAGGCCCAGTTCCTGCCTGCTGAAGGGCTTTTTGGGTTGGCGTTTCAGGTTTGGCCCCTGAGCCATGAGGCTGCTACACTGCCAATACGGAGGGTTTAGGGTTTAGGGTTTAAGGTTTAGGGTTTAGGGTTTAAGGTTTAGGGTTTGGGGGTTTAGTGGGGGGGGGTCTGTCTGATTTGTAAAGATTTTCTCTTGGTCTGCAGAAGGATTGCACGACAAAAATCATCACTAATGGCTTAGGCTCCTGGCCTCAACCCTAAACCCTGAACCCTAAACCCCAAACCCCAAACCCTAAACCCAAAACCCAAAACCCTAAACCCTAAACCCTAACCCTAAACTCCTAAGCTTAGCTATCTGGGCAGCGAGCTTTCGGCTTCAGTTGCAGCCTTGGAAGCCCTAAACCCTAAACCCAAACCCGAAACGCTGTACCCAAAATCTTCGGGCTAGTCATGCCCAATCGCGTAGCACGTAAACCTAAACCTTGAGCAGTTGCAGTCTGCGCAACATGTTCCTAACGAGAAACAGACAAACCCGAAACAAGCCCAAAAGTCAAAACCTAGGTTAGGGTTCAGGGTTTGGGGGAAAGATTCCTTTCTTCCTGAGACCCAAAGCAGACACTGGGCATTTCGTTGCGTCTCCTTGCTTTCGGGGTCCTAAACCTCTTTGCAAAGATTCAGGACATGCAGAAAGCATGAACTACAAAAGCAGAGAAGCCCTGTTTCAAAAAGGAAAAGGATGAAAAGAAGTACCTCTAAAGAAGCAACGAATGAAATGCCAAGGCTTCACCGATGCCCCCCCCTCTGTAGCAAAGACTTGCCAAAGCCAAGCCAAAGCCATGCCTTTTTTTCCTGAAGCATCACCATGCAATGCCTGGATGAGCTCTTTTGCCACAAGAAATACCGAGAAATACATAACTTTTCCGAGTCTGGAGATCTCGGGCAACAGCACATGATGTTGTTTCACAGGACGCAGGTAACACCTTAGCACCCCTAACACACTCCTAAACCTCAAACCCTAAACCCTAAACCTTCAACCCTAAACCCTGAACCCTTTTTTGGCGCCTTGGGAGTGGCTGAATAGGGTCGAGCACTTCGGGCTCTTCGAAACCGTTGTGCTTTTCCAGGAAGGCAGAAGCCTAGAAGACCTCGCGCGCGCAAACGGTGCGGCGAATCCCAAGCTCCACGTGTCCCAAGCCGTTTGGAGCCCAAACCCCCCCCCCCCCCCCCCCGAAATCCCCCGAAACCCCCCGAAAACTGCCCGAGACCTCCCCCCCAAACCCCCCAAAACCCCCCCAAACCCCCCCCAACCCCCCCAAACCCCAAACCCCCAGTCTCCAAGCACCTCAGCCGAGCTTTGCCAGTTGGAGCTTATCTACCGGAGCAAGCCAAGGCCCTCCCGTCAGGGTTTAGGGTTGTTTAGGGTTTAGCGTTGGGATGTTCCTCCTGGTACTAACATGATAATAGGGGGTACGATAATCCCTATTAAGGCTGTCTGTCTCAGGGGGAACATCCAAGTTTAGGGGGTTTAGGGGTTTCACGACTCTAAGGTTCAAGGGTTTAGGAGTGCTTGGGGGCTTAGGATTAAGGGGGGCGGTGTTGTTCGAGTGTGGGGTTTCAGTTGTTTTGGGGTCTGGGGGATCTTGGATTCTGGGTCTGGGGTTTTGATTTTGGGGTGCGGTGTTGTGGATTGTGGGCTAATGGTTTTGGAGCTTAGGTTTTCGTTGCTTTCGTTGTTTGGCATGAACCCTAAATTTCGACTGCCATGGTTCTAGCAGTCTAGAGTTTCAGCATGGGGGAGTGCGGGGCGTTGTTGTTCTAAATTAGGTTATATACCCCCCTCCTTCCCCCCAAGACCCAAAATCAAGGGTTGCTTGTGTGGGGTCCCGTACCTGAAATGCTGCCAGGGATGTGATCACTGCCCTGTGCGAGAAGGCTGGAATTTGACCCCCTAAAGCCCTAAACCCTAAACCCTTCGGGGCGTTGAAGCGTTTAGGGTTGAGGTTTGGGGTCTTGTTTAGGGCTCAGGTTTAGGGTTGGCATCGGGCTTCGAATTCTTCAGGAGTTCAAGGGTATCAGGATGTTGCTTGGTCTTCAGGAGCCGTGCGAAGGCGTATACCCGGACCCTTCTATCAGCGGCTGGTATGGCTTTCCTGCAGCCCTCTTGCGTGCTCAGCTCTCCCCAAGCCTCAAAACCCCAGACCCTAAACCCTAAACCCCAGCCCCCCTAATCCCTAAACCCTAAACCCTAGCCCTAAACCCTAAACCTTGAACCCTAAACCCTAAACCCTAAACCCTAAACCCTGAACCCTGAACCCTGAACCCTAAACCCTGAACCCTAAACCCTAAACCCTAAACCCTGCCCTGAACCCTGAACCCTAAACCCTGAACCCTGAACCCTGAACCCTGAACCCTGAACCCTAAACCCTAAACCTTCAACCCGCAAGGCAACCAGTGTTGTCCAGCAGTCTGTCGCGGCCCCGGCTGGCACGTCGC